GTTCCTGTGATGCAAGTTATGTGGGTCGAACGGTGAGGCGTCTATTTGATCGCATCAAGGAACATCACCCCGTTTGGTTGAACCAGGGATTGACAAGGACCGGGGAGACAATTACGAATCATTTTACTGAGTTTAATCACACAGTCTTGAGGCTTTCCATCCTCTCTACACGGTCAATGGTCAGAATTTTATCAACTGCCGAGGCGATTGCCGTCCGTCTCCACACACACCCTTGTGGACCCAGAAACAGTTTGTAAGAACATTGGTCTTACCATGTACATTCAACAACACTCTCCGTTTATGATCAACCACTCATTCACCTACCCACCCATTTACAACCACTCTCACTTTCCACGCACACACACACACACAGACACACTCACGAACGTAAATTATCATATGTCCATCATCTCTCCTTCAACTCTGATCTCCTTCGCAGATAGTTGTCTCCTCTCCCCCACTTGTTTTAATCTGTTATGAATTGTGCTGTATTTAGCCAGTTGATGTAGCACCGAAAACGAGCTTGTTTTTGCTATTTTGTGTTCTCATGACTACTCAAATGGGAATAATTTCACAGCTTGATTTACGTTTGTATGCATTCAATTCTCATATTCTAAATAATTAGGATAAATAATAATTCGTATTTTTGGGGTTTCCGTCCGAACTTGAACCACGAATTAGCGGGTTTTAATCCAGGAACCTTACTTTTGAGTTATACGCTGAGGCGCGGGACTACATCAAGTAATTTATCAGGTTCTTGGTTTAGCCTATCCAAAATCCATGTAGTAAGACCAAAACATAGACCCCAGCGAGGTTTCAGCTAAAACGGGGAACCCGATCAAGTTATTTAGTTATTTCATTAAATAATGTTATATTTCATACTCGTCTAAGTCCAGACTGCATGCCAAGGGAATCGTGTTACAATAAGTTTTATAAAAATGTAAAAGTCCACGGTTTACTAGTATGCGCAATACTAACAGTTTGTCCAGGCCAAGACTAGAGAAGTATCTTGAAGAATTCACAATCGGAGTCCAGGACTAACCGAAGGCTGACTTTCAAGGCAGCAAAGCGGTGTGAAAACCGTAATTCATTGTGAGCCGGAGTTCAGTTCATTGAATTATACGCCCTTTGGACGGGGTCAAACGTCCAAGGCGCCCGATACACCTAAACGCCAAATCGAGCCGGTGACCGCTGCCAGAACCGAGAAGGTATGAGTGAGTGTGGTTTGCTTGCCACTTGTTGGCTGGTTTGGAATCAGTGTTTTTAGCCAATTCCCCTACGTAAACTGACAGTGATTCATCGACCAGGTTATAGCCCCCGGGTATTGGTTTGTTGTCCTCTCATTTTGGTGGGAAAACGACTCCACCTGGAAAAGGCAGTGGATAGATTTTCGTCAGCAGAAGATATCTGAAACGCTTAGATGTATAGGAGCATTTCGCTAGGTGCAAGAGAAGAGTAGATAGCCACCACCCAAGACACTCAAGTCTACCATACTGAGACTTTCGGGGGTGGGGGGNAAGCAGTAGTATGAGACATTTTCTAGCCAAGGGTTAGTCGTAATATCATCACAACCAGATGACAGCTTGTATACAGTGGAATCTTATGTCCCCATTTTTCGATTTCTCTATTCACAGTTTCATCATCAGACCACAGTGATCTTTTTTTTTTTTTAATCTTTTTTTCAATCTTTTTATTTTACTTCCTTTTATTGAATATGCAATGGTACAATTTTCAGGACGGGGAAAGCGGCCAATCAAACGGGGCTGCCATTGAACACACACACTGGGAAAAGTCAGGCGGCAGTGGTGGTGGTGGAATTCGAACACACATCCCCGCTGGGTGATAATTTGGTGGCGTTACCCCCAGGGCCAACACCGCCGATGACAATAGTGACTGAGATATCCTAGAGTTGTTTTGTTTGTCTTTTCCTGTGTAGTTTGAAATCATAATTTTACAACCCTTATAAATGCTGTTCACCAACCATTTTGGCAAAACGTAATGGTTGTGAAAACTGGATTGAGCTGACGTTTAATCAAAGCGGAACACGATAGTCATTTTGTACTACATTGCATGGAAACAAACATTTTTCTGTTTTCTCTTTTAAGACATTAGGCTAGAATACTGGGTCACTCAAATAATTTCTTTTTCACATTCAATAAATATTTTACTGAATGAGCTTGTTTTAGCAAATGTGTACATTCTTTGAAAGACTATTGCTTAATAAATTGCATTTTTTTATTGGTTGATCTGATCCACCACACCTTATCCTCCTACAGAATATCAATTTGAACAGTTTCGGACCAGAGGCACCACTTTCACCTCCGCCCAATCGTCTGCCGGGATCGCCCATAGCATCATGTCCCTTGTCACAACAATCGCATTTCTCATCATGTCCTGGTGTCCCGTTAGCTCCATTTCAATTGCCCATCAATGTCACTTCAGCTAAACCAACACAAAAGCTTTCAACATTTGGGAGTAGTCTTCGAATACATGACGACTTTATCACTTCGTCAAAACCCGCGATTCGTAGTCGTATTTTATCCAATTCCGGTCATGCGCGATCAAACGCATTACATCATTCACTTCCCTATCCCAGTCTGGCAACAAGTCGGTCACCAAACACATTTGGATCCGCTCACCTACTGACTCGTACATTACTGTCCTCGGCACACGCGCTACGTTCCTCCACTGCCCAGTTGGCTTGGAACTATCCAACCCCGGTCTATACATCTGATCACCCGTCGAAAGTGGGAAACCAAACTGACTATCAGACCGGAGTTTTACGACAAGCAAACCATTCTGGACTTTATGCGAGTACTGAATCCATTTGTCAATATACTGGTCACCTAAATTGTTCCAACACTGGTCTAGTTTATCCGAACCCAAACTCTAACATATGCTCTCCGGAAGTACTCCTATTCCGAACAAATCCTATAACAACACGTGACCGAATCACTGGTTCTCCGGCCATGTTGTGCGCCTACGGTCCATTCTATTCCTCTTGTTCGTCCTCTACCTCTTCTTCATCCTCCTCCTCATCTACATCATCTTTAGCAACATCTGCTACCCCAGCAATGTTAACGCGTCCCGATATGGGCCTGAGTCACACGCTTCCCTTCACTGAATTAATTGACGTATCTGAATCCGGTTTGTTCGTCACAATGGACACAATTGATCCAAATGAACGTGAAGCCTATCGAACAGATCCGAGCCTTTGTCCACCTTATTCTCTTCACACCCTGATTTACATGAGTATACATGAAATGAAACGACACAAGTTCACACTCAACGATATTTGCTCGTGGATTCGAGAACATTTTGCCTATTTTCGAGTGATCCAATCAAACTGGGAGGTAAGTTTGTGCTTGTGCTTGTGTGTGTGTGAGCGTGTTTGTGCAAATACTGCACGTGTATGTAAGAGAAAAATTGCTTTTAGTATTTCTGAATGCTTCACCAACCTATGAAGATCCAACCGACGGTTGCTATGGCAATACATCAAACTATCTCACTATCTCCATTATGCAAACCAAGTTGTTTTTCCATTAATGATCTCCGAAACATCGTCACTAGATCAAGGGTTATTTTTGATGCTCCACTTGATCACATTTAGGCATACATGAAAGTCATACTCCGAGGGTTCGTTGATGGTGAATTTATTGGCTATGATCTTGAATTTTCTCGACTCTCAGTCACTGTAATCACCAATAACTCATTTTATCCCCTACGCTGATGTGCACTCTCTGCTATATGCCTGGATGAAGCACTAACGAATTAGCTAAAACAATAAGTATATATCAGCACAAACATGTTTCACATATTCGGTACCAATCGTTTCACATGAACTGATGTAGATGAATGCATCGTAAGTCACTTCCCCACCGGTGATGGTGCTTCAACGGTTCCAATCTGATCATCACAACTCAAATTTTCCTTCCTTTTCTCTCTGTCTCTCACGTGCCCGTTTCCTACAAAGACGATTGAACTGCTTATTTGATGTGTTGATGAGTGAATTGTTATTCTCAATACTGCACCCTTTCTTTATCAATTCAACTCAACTGAACTGAATTTTCAAAGTATTGCTTTTAAAGGTTAAATTAGTCGGGGTGAAAAACACTTTGTGATATCTCGGACAAAAAGTGACGCAAAACAAGTGGAAAAAGTTATTGTTAGGGCAAACTGCAACCCAAAGTTGTTCGGTTGGCCCATTCGGTTTCATGGATACAGAACACTGCATTGAGTCCGTGTAAGTTGTTTCTAGATTACAATCCACGGAAGATTGTGCATTCCTATACATGTTTCATAAGGGAAGTTTTTTGTGTATAGGTCAACAAAAGTCCTAGAAAGTTGCTTTCTCTCTCTTTTCCGGGATTCAATAGCAGTGGCATCTGTGAAATTAAAGCAACAACCCTCGGAGCTGCACCACGGAGGATTACCCGTTTGGGTAAATGACTGTATTGACTCGGATCGTATTGTTTGGATGAATACACTCAATCGAAAATTTTGCTAGGCAATCCGTGTGAACTTTTGGCTTGTAAAATACCCCACTCCCAAACACCAATTTCTCTCTTTTTTGTGAATCCATTTGCCAGTGTTACGCCACCAAAATCCATATATCGGACTGTGATAACACCTGGGACCAAAACGTAAACAACAACTTGCATTTTAGTACAATACGCAAAGACTAGCTCAATGTTTTATTCGATAGACCAGTTGATGCTAAATCCTCAGTCTTCTAATGAATTGAGCGCCACAGACCCAATGAAACAAACGTTTTGGCGACCGTTTCTGAGAATTACATACGTTTCACAAAGTTGCTCGAATTTTGAACCACTAGTTTTCCCACTGTTCGGTGACACAGAGAGATTAGTATATATACGGAAAGGATCAGTTCGGAGTTCATACAATACGTGAATGCTTAAATCATCACAAGTTGGCTATAAGTCCGCTGACATTTAACAAGGGATTAGAGACATTGCGAACCAAACGGAATGATTTCGGAGAATACTCGGGCTATTAAAATACTATCTTCCTCATCACGTTAGCAACATAAAGTTTCTCGTATACAGATGTACCGACAGTCTGAATGAGATTAATGAATACATCAAAAATGGTAATCGTTGATCGGGTGTTTGGACACACACACACGCACCAAATTCGTACAAGCAATACAATTCAGATAGTGGTTGAATATTTTTGTCCTCATTTGTACGAATGTGCTTGTGCGTGTGTGTTTGTATGTTAGCAAAAGACAAAAATAAAAACGTGCAATCAACCGGTTCACCGGGAGACTGATAGATAGCCAGTTTCGACAACAAACTGCCACCTGTCTTGGTCTCATTGCACTTCATACAAACCATCACCGTCATCACTACCATAGTGGTCTTCAGTCTATAGTGACTGGCGTGTCCTCATCACGCTCAGACTTGTCTTCAATTGCGGGTCATTCAGTATTCGAGTGAATTCATTGCGTACAATTTAAATGAAGTCAAACAATACATATTACTGCCTTGTTTTCTGTTATAAGACCGCAAACGTTTATTATTCGTAGACGTCACTAACGCACAAGAAAGTATCATATTTTGATCGACATCAGACAATGTACGTTTTTATCGTGTGAACAGTATACAAACAATCGAGAATCCGCCAAAAAAGTGAAGTCGATGAATAAGGTACTTGACCGTATGTGATTTTCTGTTATTCAACAAAATCCTCCTGTTGACATTAGTCACTGAATCTCGGCAACGTGCGTATTTTGAGTCAATATAATCCATTGTACGATCGGCTCCCTTGAAACCATTGACAAGATGATCAAATAACGTTTTCTGGTACAAACTGACATTCAAATATTTGTATTTTAAATCTTAGACAATAAATTCTTTCGACGAATTAAATTCATGCAAGACTGTTTATCTAACTCGTCTTTGGGACTGAACCGATAAGGAGTTGACTTTTATGGATACATGATTTAAACATTTTTCTAATATTTGAATGAGCACAAACGTCTATCTATGGTTAATATCAGTGAACCATTTTAGCTGACTTCGTAGTCGAAACAACTAACAACCCTTGCAAGATAAAGTGCAGTTGTTTTATACACGAATTCGGCAGTTAACCGTGAGTGATTTCTTTGCCACTGAGTTTGAATGCAAATGCAATAAAGTGATCAATATTTTGATTATCCCATGTTCTTCATTTACCAACAAATCAAAATTAACATTTCCTCGAAATATTGATTGGTCATTATGCTCCATGAGCAGAAACACAATTATCAGAAAACTAGCTATATACCCATAAAGGACCGAGCAGGTCTCGGGGATGATAAGCGGAACACCAAGAACCGTGCAATGTACAACAACTTAAGAGAAATTAGTGCCACAATTGTTACACAGGCCATCTAGCTTCGGACATTCGTGATCTGCTCCACATTCATCTGCAGCACCTGCTGATACGCTTCCTAGGTACACTGTCGGTTCAGTTTTCCGTCTACCTTGGTAGTATCCACACTCATTTGGATCTCAGTAGGACAACAGTGAAGGAGATTGAGAACCGAAATCAGCAACCGATACATCGGCACGCTAATGACGGACGTGTGAGCAAGAACTCCTCCTATTATCAAAGCTTAAAAATGTTTAAGAGACGTGCTTTACTGCTGCTTTCCAGCAACTGAGTAATCTTTGGATGTTTGGGAAATTGGAAGCATAGTTTCCCCGTAATGAATTTGAATAAACAAGCCAAAAACACAGGTTTGCACAATGTATCCTGGATCATTTCGCTGCATCTGTACACGTTGCTCCTGCAGTCTATGATTCTGTTATTTACTGACCATATATTAATGATCACATAGACTGCAGTATGCACGTGTACAGATGCAGCGAAATGATCCAGTGCTTCTTTATTCAAAATCTTTGGATGCTCGATAAACTAAATATCAGTGACAATTAATTTAATCCATAGCCTTTATGAATATCGAGGTTGTTTAAAAAACGAATGTTGTTTTGTTTACACCATGGCATAGGATGACAACGGACTTCGCGAAGAAACATTACAAATTGGATTTCTAAACGAATGATCAAACTGACAACAGGGGTTTTAAATAGCAACAACAGTTTTGTATCATATATTGTTGCGTAAAATCTAGATTTTTGGTAGCAGTTCAAATAAATTTGCGAACAAAATGCATAGAAGTATCTTTTTATGGTTATCAAACCAAACGCATCGTTAAAGAATAAAATACGCTGATTCTGTCCCGCTTTGGTTTTGCCTACCTATAAGTAAAAAACCACATCACGAGAAATTCTTTCGCCTACTCCTCGGATTTTATCCACGAACTCAAAGATCAAAATATGAGAGCATCAAAATTTAAAAGAATAGTTTTAAATTTACCAAGTATCATTGATTCATTAGAATAACAGAGATGTGGAGAACAAGCTTCCTTTTAGTGCTTTATCTACTGGCCAATTACAGCATAGTATATAAATCAAGGAAATAACACGGGAGACAGTCAAATCAGGATTTTAGTATGTGCAAAATGGGAGTTCAGGGGTTGGAATGGAGATAGATGTATTAACACTGACCTCATAATTGATGATAATCCCCTGCGTAGTGTGAATATTCGAGTGAAGTGTTAGGTGGGGGACACACTTTGGACACACGGCCATGGGAGGGAAAGGGATTTAACGAACTGTTTGTGTGCACGTAGCTAGCTTTTTTCCCGATGCAGCGTAAACGCAGCCCAATTCAATGCATCGTCAATCATGGAAGAAGACTTTGTTCTACTGACAGACTGAATGATGAATTGGCAACAGTTAAGTCAACGTTCTTAAAATTGGATACCCAGAGGAACTTGTCGATCGTTGTATGAGAGCTTACACTGCAAACTCAAACGACGCAACGGTGGAGAAGAAAAAGGTCAACATTTTATTGTCTTTCAAAGGTGACACCCTTGAGAGGACAATAAGTAAACAACTGAAGAATTTAGTAGAAAATAGTTATTTCTCAATGGAATTGCGTTTGTTCCACTTTTCCAAATCAGTTTTCACATTACAAATGAAGGACAGGCTACCGATGAAGATGACATCTTTTTGTGTTTATCAGTTTACTTGCTCCTCTGGGGCAAGTTACGTGGGTCACACCACCAGACACCCGATCGATCGGATGACAGAACACCACCCAGCTTGGCTCAGTCAAGGAACAATAAAGGCAGATGCGAGTGCGGTTCCTATACATCTGACCGAGACGAATCACAAAGTGGATGTGCGGGATTCGTTCCGTCCAATCTTTTAACTAACGGGGATTCGGTCTAAGGATGTGAAAGCCTGATGGTTATCTAGAGTAGAGGCGATAGCAATTAGAACAAGCAAACCCCCATTATGTGCACACAAACAGTTCGTTAAATCCCTTTCCCTCCCATGGCCGTGTGTCCAAAGTGTGTCCCCCACCTAACACTTCACTCGAATATTCACACTACGCAGGGGATTATCATCAATTATGAGGTCAGTGTTAATACATCTATCTCCATTCCAACCCCTGAACTCCCATTTTGCACATACTAAAATCCTGATTTGACTGTCTCCCGTGTTATTTCCTTGATTTATATACTATGCTGTAATTGGCCAGTAGATAAAGCACTAAAAGGAAGCTTGTTCTCCACATCTCTGTTATTCTAATGAATCTATCGGAATTATTCTCTTATTATCATTGATTCAACCAACCATAATTCAGCAGTACATTATAGTAATGAAGGATAAATTTTTAACTGTAGGGTATTTAAACTCAAGATGTGATTGAATGCAGTTTGTTTAAAATAAACTTGCATTTAACATGAAAATTCATGAATAATGGTTGTTAAAACAGAAAATTGAAACCAACAAGTTCCATTAATTCCCGGGACCATTAGCCATCAAGATCAAAATAATCCTGATGACGGATAAAAATGGCCTAAAACAGTGCAATAGTTCTTCCGTGATCAACCTGACAAGAAAAGTACATATACTACCGGAAAGTTCTGTTGACTTCTATGTATTGCTTTTGATCGAGCAAACTCATGGCATCAGACAACCATTCACTCGGAAAGTACTTGACTGCTTTTGAATTTCATCACATAGATTAGACACCGACTGCGGTTTGTTCATATATCTGTTTCAAAGCTAATAAACCATATTGTGGCCCCTACATATGGACAAACCCTCATGGGAGTATAAACAGTGTCTCATGTTCCCCAACTGTATTCCTGACGGGATGAATTGAGAGTCACGCGAAAAGATGAATTCATAAGACTGATCAGCGGAGATCATTTTCTTACCTCACACTACTGCTCACAAGTGACTGATTAAGACCAAGTGAATGAACACTATGAACGCTCAGTACTTCCTGCATCAATAACACGAGGATGCCCACACAATCCCACTTCAACAGTTTCTCACAAATGGAACACAGGAGAGCTTTGGTTGGAACGTTGTTCCGTAAGATGAGAAATGATGTGTACACAATACCAAACGACAAGGAGAAAATGGTCATCCGGAATCATTTGTTCGCTTTCATAATAGGACAAGAAATCAGACTCAAACACCTATCCATCGGGTTTATAAAAAGGATATCCGAATCTCTTGGCCATAAAAAGGGAAGTCAACAGTGCAGTTTATCCCACAACACACACAAAATAGTTTTACAAAGAATCTACTATGCTGCCACATCGCATCTCCATCCGATCGCATGGCGTCTCCTCCCTCAATATAAATATCACCACTTAATCGAACCTACCTTCCATTGCGTTTACGCCCTCTGTTGCAGCTGATATGATAGAATCGAACGATCACTGCGAACTAGAATCGCCGAACACCCCTCACCCCCAAGTAGGTGTGTGATCAACGATTCAGTCTATACCGCAGATTCTGACTGCATCAGGTTGACCGACCTCGACAATTGGACGCCACTTGGTTGAAGGCGGTCACAAGGCAGTCCTTACGAATGCGTTCTCGGTTTTTTCATGTCATTGCAACTAAGACCGACTA